CTGCAAAGAATGGGCAATAAATATGTACAAGGGAAATTGGAAGAGCCGAGATTAATTGGAAATGTGAATAGCTAAGGGTATGGAATCAAACTACGTTACTGTCCTTCAGGTTCATCAGGAAGCTCGTTTTGCTCGTGTTTGTTGTATGTTGAGGTTTGTCGAGATGTAGCAGATGTCTCTCTGTTTTTCACTCCTAGCAGGAAGCTCTGCAGTTTGTTCTCGTCAAGTTAGGGCTTTCCAAAATCAGCTCCTTAATCCTTTTCAATCCGACAGGAAGCATTTCCCTGTCCCTTCATTTCCTAAACAGATCCCTTGAGCTATCCTACACCCATGACTTTTAAGTGACCTCTGTACAGGTGGACCACAATATATTTGTTCATTTTGCCCTGATTATTCTAAATCTGCTCCCCTTGATGGACTCAGTGAGAAAGAGAGGTTGTTCAGCAAGGTTCAACTCAGGCTGAACCTGCATAGAAGAGTGAAATCAAAAGTCTGAAATTAAAACAAACAAAACCCCATAAGCCATCAAGTCCAGTGTTGTAAGGACAATACGTTGGCTTAGCTCGGCAGTTGACAGCAAAATGCAGTCTGTCATTAAAAATAGATGCTCAGACAGAGATGCAGAAGACCACTAGTCTTGTAGCTATTTACTTAAAAATCACTGTATCTGACAAACTGGTTGAATCAACAATGATAAACAGAATAAATACCAGGACTATAATATCATGATACAATAGTGGATAATTAATTATTTTTATATAGAAAAGTTGCATTTCACTCAGGTTTTTTAGAATGTGTCGGTACAGTCAAGTGTGTCAAGCAGACACACTATTGCCCAAATGGCAACCTTCATTTTTTTTTTCTAAGACCCGCAACAGTCCTTTTCCAAATCTCTTTTGAAATGATACAAATAAAATTAAAGGTGCGGGCTGACGTTACAGTTTTTCAGCTGACAAAGTGGATTTCACAACTTCTGCCCCTGGCTGCTGAGATCTCCAAACACAGTTTAGTTTTTGGCTCCCTGGTGCCAATGCGATTGTTGATGTGGACATGGTTAAAAGTAAATTGAAAAGTAGTTATGAAGGGAAAGACAGAGTATTACATTGGATCAAAAAATGTCTGTAACACAGGAACAGAAGAGAAATAAACTGCCAAGTTTTATCATAGCTAATGTACTTAAAGGTGTATTACTGTATATTAACACTATACTTATTAACACTATGCTTATTAAACATTTGGAAGAATAAATGTTGAGGCAGCAAATGTAGAAAGGGCTGCTAGGTAATTCAGGTTAATAGGATTCACACAAGACTGTGAGGAATTTCAGAAAAAAACTAAACTGGCAGAACCAGCTCAAATTTGAGTTTTGAAAAATGCCACATTGTGTTCAGTGGAGGAAAACAGGAATTACCTGCAAGTCATAAAAGGTTCAAAATTCATCACTGCACTGAGGGTGGGAATGCAGCTTTCATAGGAAACTGCATCAGCAGCATGTCCAGCATCCATCTGGTGTCAAAAGAAAACCAAACAGAATGTGAGGGGCGATGGAGAAGGGGGAGGAATACCACAGAGAGATTCTTTTTTAATCTTGTTTCAGAAAAACTGTTTGTTCTCAGCTAGAATACGATGCAGTGCTATTTACTGTCTCACAGCAAATAGGAGTATAACAGGAGGGTTAGGAATATGTAGGAAATGACTTTGATTGGTTGCATGTAAAAATAGCATGAGCTGTATTGAAAGTACAGACAATGTTCAACAATATTAAGAAAAAAAGAGATCAGTAATTTCTAATACTAAAAGACCCAAGAAATGCTTAGTAAAGGTGAAAAGTAGCAAATTAAAGAAATAAATATGTTTGATTTTTTTTTCTGTTTACTTATTTGACTGGGAATCCGCTGACATTGAGACTGAGAAAGAAGCCAAAATCAGGCAGGGAATGGAAAATAGTGAATGCAACCAAATACAATTTGAGTTAATGTCAATATCTAGATTTAGCAATATTTAATGATGTTTTTGTAATATTTAATGATAAAAATGATGATTTTTTGATTTTTTAAAAGGATTTAAGACATCATGTTTCCAGTCTAAGACCATGTCTGTTATGAATCATGTTGAGTCTGTCACAGCGGGATGCTCAGGGTGGCATGGCCTGTGCCTTTCCCTGGCCCTATTAAGATCATCCTGAACTGGATAAATCACTGATGCAATATAGGGATGTTAGCTCTGTATCGCTCCTTGTGGGTGGGATTTCTTTGGAGAATGTGCAATAATGATGGATTCTCCAGCTTGTCCATGATTCCCAAGGGAACAATGCACGGTATCATTGAAGACATCCCATAAAAGTTGTGCTCCACAGTATGTGGAAAACACATACTCTGAATAATATTTTGGTATTGTCTCCTCTGCATAGTGTTACCCTGGCAGTTCTACTGAAGTGGGGACTCTGTGCTGTCGCAGAGAGACACGACATTGGATAAAACTGGTTAATTCAGCAAGGCTGCCTCTCTTAGTTTTGAGGTGGAACCTTCATGCTTCTAGTGAGCTACTACTAGGAGCCTCACGGGAAGGAATGAGGCCATCAGGCAGTTTGATTTAAAGAAGGCCAAACAGGCGAGCATTCCAGTGAGGAGGCCCAAAGATGATAATGCAGGCAAGACTGGAAGAAACCGCTCCTAGAAGTTGTATTTGACAAGATGATGTTTGTGGTTAACTAAGGAATCTTCTTTGCTTGGATTTTAGTTTTAAAACAGGACAGCAAAGTCCATATCATCGCTTACCATCTCTGTCGTACTTGATTGGCATCTTCCTGCTCGCCGGGTTCAGCTCAGCAGCTGCCCTCTGCACGGAGATGCTCGAGATGTCTTCTGAATACCCCCTGCACTCCTGAGTGCTGAGCAGATGACAGGAACAAAGACTTGCCTTATAAAAAGCGTTTCTGTATGAGACGAGGAAAATAAAAATAGAACTGCTTATAGCAGAGTTTTGTGCCTATGCATAGCAGAACATACAGAGGCAGATTCTGTTCCTATGGAGTAGGATTTGACTAGCTCAGGACTCTAATGTACTGATGGGTGAACAACCATGGTGGGCACTGTGCTGGGACTGGACACAGAGACAGGTGATTGCAGATCATTTCCTCCAGCTTGTCCATCACACAAAGTGCCAGGGCCAGAGTTTTCCAAAGAACACAGAACAACTAGTTCCAGGTATATTTTGATTAAAGCTTGTTGTCTTTTATGGCATCAGTACAAATTGCCAGGCTACCCTGTCATTCAAGGTGGTAAGGTGTTTCGAAGGTGCAGACCAAATGTATAATTGTGGGTGATGGGAAATACTGTATTTGAAAATGCTGGTTATGATTGATAAGAAGCATTACATTTTTTTTTTCCTAGTAATTTTCAGAAAATGTGTTTGAATGTAAATTGACCACTAAATTGTTTTCTTCCCCCAAAAAAGGAAATGAGAAAGAAGTAAAATATAATTGGTGCTTTCAAAATCCTTCCTGGAACGCAGGCAATGAGATGAGTGTATCCTTAAAATATTATATTTTAATAAGAGTTTACTCTTCCTTCCTCCTTCCCAAAAAGACTGTAGCAGGGAAGTGACACATAAATCCCTGCGTCCACTTAATGGCATGGTGCCTCAAATGATAAATACTACCACATTTTGATTAAAAAAAAAGAAAAAAAGAAAAAAGCAGTTTGTGAATTGAATATTGCTTCCTTAGCATTTTTCATCCTGAAGTCATTTAGTAGAGGAAATGGATATTTCATCAGACATGGATTTGACGTTCCATCACATTATACAGTAAACAGTACAAATGATGTTATTTTTTAAAAATGGAAAAGCTGGAAAAGCTAAGACAGTAGCTGCTGTAAGGCACTGGTTATCTCATTTAAACAGATATTAAATGTGGGTGCCAGTGGTGTGATCATCAGCTGCTTCCCACTTGGTGAATAAATTGCTTAGAAGGAGTCTTTTTGCCTACCAGATGTGACCTAGATTTAGATTTCCAAAGGCAAAAAAAAAAGTCTATTGTGTAAAAAAACAATTGCTGGTAAAATGCGTGGTAAATGAGCTTATCTCACTTTTCCAGGTGTTTAAGCTAATATGTTATGGAATTACGGCTTCATTTATGAAAAATAATTGAGGAAAATGTTCCAGCAAATCAAATTTGGATAAAGGCTTAGGACATTTATTGTATTGCTAGCAACTTTCTAAACGGCAGAAAAAACAGGGAGCCAGAAGAGATAATAAAAATACAGAAATTTCTTTCTGTGAAGGGGTTCTTATAAAAGAATCGGATCTGGCCGTGGTATCCAGCCTGTGTTGTGATTTAGTGAAATGGAGTAACGTGAACAATTTATTTCCGTCAATGCATATGAAAGCAGGTTTTGTTTTTGGTTTTTGTTTTCTCAAGAGATCAAGCACTGATGTCTCTTGGTCCAGGATAAGATTTATTATATGGTAGGTTAAATGTATGACAATTAGAAGAATAACATTTTTTTTCTCCCTCCTCTTTTACATTTACTGATTCCATAGGGGCTGCCACTCGAAAACCAGACCCAGAGCCTGAAAAGCAGACCGACCATACTGTTAAAATTGCTGGAGTCATTGCAGGCATCTTGCTGTTCGTCATTATATTCCTGGGGGTCGTGCTGGTAATGAAGAAAAGGTGAGCAATTATTAGCTGTGTTTTCTATGTACATGTTTGTGTCATGGCATCTCCTATGGCAGTTTCCAGTTTGACACTGGCAAAAGCATCAAGCCACCACAGCTCCCTTTACCATGGAGTTTAGGATATGCTGCTCCCTGCTCCAACCCCACCGTCTTGATGTGATTTTATAAACCCGCCCCTTCTCTTTTACCCTGCAGCGTTTCCTATGCAGTAATGTTTGTGGCTTTGTGATAAAAGAAAAAACAGCCCAAGGTTAATGAGTCCAGCACTTTGAGCGTTAGTACTGCATGATGGGCTCTAATAACAGGACGGTGTCTCTATCCTGAAAGGGTGAGCCCTCCCCTCTGTCCACCAGGTCAGGGAGAAGTTAGATGTAGTTTCATTTCCTACAGAAATCTGAATTGCCCATCTTGAATACAAAAGAAGACCTCAGTCAAACAGTAACACGACAGGTAAGATAAGGTAATTTGTGCTAAGAACAAGGTCTGTCTTGTTCTGCATAAACTTCATTCCCTGAAAGAAAATGAAAGTGTTATAACGGTGCCGTTTCCAGAGTGCACGCACGTTGAGATTGCTGTGCTTTTAAAATCATCTGAAAACTGCCAGTGCCAGAGTTAAACCTGGTTGCCTTTCTCTCGATATTATAAAAGGGAAAAAACAAAGGGATAAAGCATCACATATCTGGGGAGGTGGCAGGGATCAGGAAAAAAAATGAGTGATGATGGCAACTAAGTCTAGAGTAGGAAGAATTCGCTAGCAATTAGAGTCATAGGGTTTAGGTGGGATCCTAAGGGATGTGAACTTCTGCAACGCTAGAGGGGAGGCTGGGAATTTGTCTCAGCTCTTTAGTGGCCCTGAGTCACAAATTCCCCTTCTCTAACTGGGAATTCCTACCTGTTGTCTCTGTACGGCCCCATACCCCCTCTCAGCCTCATGCACCCTGCGTTATCCCCTTTTCTTCCTTTGCGAATTTGCTCATCCCAACATTATCTGCAGTCTAGTGATTTAATTGTGCGTTAACTGGCTTGGCAGGTGTGAGATAGTCCAAAGCCCTGAGCTGCCTGAAACTCTTCCAGAACTGCAGAGAGGAGGTGCACAGCTAAGGAGGCAGCTGCCTGGCAGTGCCTCAGGGCAGGCAGCAGAAATAGCTGTTTTTTCACTTTCCTTCAAGGCAGAAGTGGGGCCATGAATGGAATTAGAAGGGCTCTGTGCAGAGAAAGGTGGATTGTGACCAGGGCAGAGGGCTGGTTCATGAATAAAGGTAGAAAAAAGCAATGGAAAGTCATCATAGAGAAGAGACTGAGAGACAGGCCCCAGGGTAGGTCTGGCTGGGACAATGAAACAGAACCACTAATCAAATCTTCTCAATAAATTACTATGTAGCAGAGTTAAAATCTGTTTTGATTTGCAGCACTTTTCTTCCCACTTCTGACTCCTTGCACCATTCGTCCCTTCAGTCTTAACAGTTGAATCCCCAGACTCCTCCCTGGGGCCGGTGGCAGCACTTGGCACCTTGCCTTGTCTGATGAACCCTACCTCACATTATTCCCAGCGATATTCATCACCCTTTATCTTCCAGTCCTGAGCCTTGCCTTAAGCATTTTTGGCAAAGGTGGAGTATATTCACCTAAGGCAGACCAGATCTTCTTAATCTTCCACAGAGAGCATTGCAGCAGGAGGTCCACATAGTTATAAGCTAAAGAAGATGTCAGGGTCTGTGGCTGAATGGATAACATTCCATGTCCTTTCATGCTCTAGGGAAAAGCTGTTTGATAATCTAATTGTAGGAAGGCTCAAATCCCAAGCATTTCGGTACATGTTAATGCAGAACACTGCTTGATTCCTTTTGTCCGTGGCACCACAGTAATTATTATTCATAGTAATCCAGCTGTTAGGAAAAAAAAATGCATTACATGAACTTCTTGGAAGTTGCAAATAAATCTACTTGTGACAAGGATGAAAATACTGAAAGTAAAATAGTCTTGTCCATGAACTCTGTTGCCAAATACACACAATTTTATTGTGTAGTGCAGAAAAAAGTGATGCCAATAACTTACTTAAATATGTCCGAGAATCATGCTGTAGTCTTGTACAAAACAAACTGTAAAATATGTTGAGGCAAACATTAAGAAGCAAGAGTGGCTCTTCTCTGTAACACGATGTGACTAGGCTTTAATGAGAGTTTCAGGAGATAAGTATATTGTGTCCCAGACCCCTAACACTGATGCTATAGCATTGGAAGTCATGAATACAATTACAGAAGGAGAACTGATTATTCAGTAGGTTGTTATTGGTGCATTAATTCACTATGGTGCTGAGAGCTCCTGTGGCTTCACCTTGATTCAGTTACTTTGTATACATTATGCATTTGAAGAAAATTTATAAATCATCTTGCAAGCTCAGTCGAACTGTAGTGTTTGTGCTTTCTTGTGATACTTTGGCTGCTACTTCATGAAACAGTCTTATCAAGGAAGTATATCATTTGACTGCTGCACTTGATCGTTTCATTTACTTTACTTCAACAGGAGTTTTATTTGAGTAAAGAATTGACTGAGAAATAAAACAGCATTTTGTAATTCTGTGGGACCTCTCCTCCGAGGAGCACTTTCCACACTGCACTTTGAACGGTGGACTCATCAGGCTGCCCCTGGGTTTCACCGTGCTGGCTCTGTGCACGCTGAAATTTCTCTTGATTGGAGTTGACTGCGGCAACATCTCATTCCCGTGCTGCTATCTCAGGGCATATACTATCTGTTACTCTTTCACAAAAGTGGGTCCTTTTATTCTTGATCTCCAGATCTTGCTGGCAGATTAAATTTACTCTGTCTCTGGGGCTTCACAGTGCTTCATTAACTTAATCTCTAAGCGTTCATTTCCATTTTCAAGAGCACTAGAAAGTAGTTGTGCTGTATATGATAACCATGTCTTTCCCAACATATTCTTTTGGTCTGGACAGCAACCATTCTTTGCTTGTGCTTGGTGCTAGGCACATGATTTTCCAGGTCAGCCTCTTTGGATTTTAATTCAGTGGACACCCAAAAGGCAATGCCAATTCCCAGAGCATAGTTTTCAGTGCAGCACAGACATGCTTTGGGTGCATTCACTGTCAAAGCTACAGGTAGAGAGGTTCTGCAAATACCACTAGTCATCAGGCATCATTACTAATTTCACTTTGTAGTGGTCTTCTGAAGTAGTTACTCTTACATTGCAAACTGAGCCTGAGAGAGATAAGGTGACCTAATTCTTCAGGATACGATATGGAGTCAGTAGTGAGGGGAGAAATAGCACCGACGCTAGGGCCTGTTCTGTGTTACACAGAACCTGTTCTGTGTTAGGCTTTGGCCAGACCCACAGATTTGTGTGCCAGTCCCCCAAGTCAAGGAAAGACCATTACTGCTTTATTCTTTCTCTTCCCCGCTTGGCCAATCCAAGTTATCAGGGCTATTTTTTTTTTAGCCATTCACCCACATTCCTGAATTAAGATGTCACATGACTAGGAAATTTTAGGCTATTTCTAATATCAATATAACTATATTGATATTAGATCATATGACCAGACTGATGTCAATGAGACTAATAGCTGTCCTCTCTTCAGCTACACTCTGAATCTGTCACTTAAGAGTTAACACAAAGCCAGTGGAAGCCAACTCGTGTGTCTCCACAAAATTTTTCCACAATAAAGTGGATTTTGAATCTGGTCCTGAATATAAAAACTCAGGCAAGACCCTTGATCTCTGCCAGCCTTTGATATTCTGTATGAGATTTTGTAAAAAGTAAAAAATAAAAATTGCAGCAGGTAAGGTCACCTTTTGGTCAACTTGAAGTAGAGCAGTGAAAATCAGAGAACTGTTCCACAACCTTTGGAAAAGCAGTAGTAATTAAATTGAGACTTGGAAACATCAGAACCCTAGTGCTTTTGCCTTTTCTGTTTTATTTCAGTTCATCTTTAAAGATGCAGTAGTTGAGAAATCTGATGTATTGGTCGAAGGCTTGCTTGAGGGCGTATATGTGTTTGGGACAGCAATTTCTCTCTGGGCCACCATCTTGCTGCTGCCGTGGGAGTGCAGTAAGCAAGTGGTTATTAAAATTTGATTACCTTGGCTTCTGCTTCGGTTTTAGAATGGATTTGTGATCGCTGCATTTCTCCATAAAAGGTTGTTTTCCTATGCTAATCTTTAGTTTCTGTTCTCACCTGTCTCTATGCCTTAGCTTTACAGTAGTTTCCAATGTACATATTTGTGGTATCTGTTTACGTAGGAGACCCTGGTTCTTGACAGTCAATAGGGGCTACTTTTGTAACCAGTGGAACTGGGTTGGGACTTAGGGGACTGGTCAAGTTCCCTGATAATAAATCAGACTGTTTAGTTTTACACCTTTGGCCAACAATTTAAAGCATTTGGAATGAAAATTGAAGATAATAGGGGTGAGGGAAAACTCCCATCTTCTCCCAGTGCCACCTCTGAACCTTCTCCTTCTCTGTAGGATAGCTACAAAAGAGATGATGAAGGAAACCACTTCAACAAAATTACCCAGCTCCAGAAGTTTCCTCTTCTAGTGGGACAATTCTCCTGTGCCCAAGTGCCTTGGTTTTGATAAAAATCGGTAGTGGGGCCATATTCTACAAGTCTACAAGCTTACGTCTTCAGTGCTTCGTTCTTTCGCTGTACACATCACTTCATTGGAATAAAACAGTTTCTCTAGTGGAAAGTGACTGAAGAGCCATGAACAGTTCCTTGTGCAGATGAAAATTTGTCTGAGGTTGGCCAAAATCTTGAGGGTCATTTCTTTTGAAGAACAAATTCTTGAAACATACAGAGAAAGCAAGTTTCTACATGTAGTGTAGGAAATAAAATGTAACTTGACTACATCTGAAACAAAACTAAATCTCTCCAATTGTGAATTATACTTTTGCATGTGATCTGAACACAAGTCTAAAGTTTTCTGTTTCTTATGGGCTTCAGGTTTCATTCTTTTTACCTTTTTTTTTTTTTTTTTGGGTCAGTGTTCAGTATGCTCAAGAATCAGAAACACAGGGCCATTTTTTCAAGATCTTTCATATGAAATATCTTGCAGTTATAACAATACAAAAATAATGAGAGCGTGAGAGCTTTGATTTTTCTCATCTCACACAGTACTTAATTTGACATATTCTCACAAATTAAAGGACATGAATCTTCAGCATTTTTTTTCATACAGAATAATTTCTTTCTCTAACATGTCTGGCAGAGCTCTGTACATAAATACCAGTAGCGCTTCACTGATTAATTATATTTATTGTTGTTTCTCAAATTACTCCGCAACTTTTAGAACATTTATACTAATTACATTAAATCCCTGTCGTGGCAACATATGGCAAGAAATAGGGTTGGCAGTGTCATGAGATTGTAAATGAGAGCAAGAGAATGAGTAGTTCTGAAGAGGAAAGGTTGGGGAAGACGTAGTTTTGACTCAATCAGAAGCAAAAACAACCCCTCGCTGTTGGAGTGGGTAAGTGGATCTGTTTTGGTAGGTGCCAGTCCTGTGCCCTTGCTGAGCGCAGTGGGCGCAGTGCTGGTGCAGCCAGGCTGCCGCTGTGTCAGCAGCTCTCCCCTCACTCTGTTCTTAGCTGTCTTTTGCAACTCAGCTTTAACAGGTGTACGTTTTGCAGATGTGCTGCATGATTAAATATTCAGTATCTAGCCTCTTGTGTTTGAACAATACTGTTTGCATCAGAAAAATGGGAATAAAATCTGGGAAATATTTCTAACGGCATCTTCACACAAAGAAGATGAGAGAGAAAATTTGATGAAAGCCTGATTTTCAAAGGAATGCCTGGAGCATGTAGCTAGAGGCAAGTTAACATTAGTTATAGTCCTTTGCAAGGCCTGTTTACATGTTTCTTCTGTACTCAAAGGGCTGTATGTGTGTGCTGTAAAAATTATAAATGCCTGCACAGTTTCTTTCAGTCTTTTATCTTAACAACATATGAATGTTACTTGAAGTTATGTTCAGAGATGCTTTAGGAACTCGAGATGCTTTCTAATTAACAGTCAACGTGCAGAATTCATTCAGGCTGGAACTTGCCCCTTTTGGGCAGTTGCAACCTTACCTGCAGTGGGCTTGTAAGGGAAGGAGGGAGAGAAATAAAGCAGAAAAACGTAGCTGTGGGGCCTGGGCGCTCAGCGTTCGCACAGCGCCTGCATGGACCGAGGGGCTGGGGTGCAGGACGTGGGGCAGGAGAGACTGCCTGGGCTGTATTTGCAGAGACGGTGATGCTGGGACTCCAGATTGTTTGCTGTGGCGACAAACCCATGGACAGGAACAGCAGGGATACAGGGGCAGGTCTTGTTTTTACCCCTGCCGCATAGGGAAATGCCAGTAAAATAATTTCAGTCATAAAGTACAGCCTTTTTATTCATCTGAGGAGAAGGGAAATTTACTCAATGCAACTTGAAGGAAGTTTTATGAACACAATTATGGACCCAATTATGGGCACAAAGTATTTTTTTCTTTGGAAGCTAAACAAATATTAAAAAGATGAAATATATTGCCCTGTGGCCATTTATTTTCCCCTCTAGAAACAAGTCCAAGTCCTCTCAATGGCAGAAAAAATTGCCATTTGATTTCTTTAAGAAATGAATATCTCAAAATTGTTTGGTACTATGATGAGAAGCTACTTTTAGTAGATACTCTTAAGTTCCTCATCATTAAAATTCTTATTAACTATTGGAAATTTCACATCCTCATTCCTAATCCAGTTGAAATGCAAATCACATTTATCACTTTAATGGGAGTGTTTGTGTATGCATTATGGGTAGATACACATATACACATATATATGTTGCGTATCATTCCTTAGCTGGTGGGTTTACCTGAAGCTGGATTAATTTAGCAGTTGGAGAAGTATTATATATTGTATTGCATAAAATTTAACGGGGATTGGATATGCCGTCTGTCAGTTCCAGACATGTTGCATGATATGCCCAGATATGCATTCTTGCTACCTTTCATTTGTGTCACCAGTTCTGGTCTCAGTTTCATCTTGATTTTTCATACATTAATATTTGGCTTTTCTTTCCTTCCATTTCATCTTTTCCACCACTGCCTAATCCTTCCACCATCATGGCAGAAGAAGCTATCACTCCTACACTTACTACCTGTAAGTAACTTCTTTGTCATCAGAGACACTCTTTCTGCCATGTTGTTCCATGCATAAGTAGTGAATGCTAATGTTGAAAATCCTTTTATGAAAACCAAATTTTTTAAAAGCTGTACTTAGATAAAACCAGCACAGTCAGTAATTTTTAAAAATACTTGATTTTATAGCTGTTTCCGATGCCTCATACTAAGCATTAGAATCCTTTGAATATAGTTAGGTTGTGAATTTTCTTAATTGAAAAGTAGTAGGTATCATAATTATCACTATTGTGTCTACAAGAAATTTTCATGCTTAAGTAACAATTTTCAGAAATTACGCAGCAGTTTCTTTCTCAGCTGTTCTGTTGAAAATCTAACATTGATTAAACCCATGAAAGCGCTTCCATTTGTTCCTGTGTACATATTACTAATTTTTCATAAAGATTGTGCATAAGTGGTGCGAGCTACCATTACCTGGATGGATTTAAAAAGACAGAGCACTGATACACTAAGCAAAAAATGAGGCAAGATGAAACGTAATTTTTAGCAAGTCTTTTGATAGTGCCTGTAGTGATACCATTATTAGCTTCATTATTTACCCAAAACCTTTGTTTCATTAATTTCTGCCAATTGGGGATGAATGAGAAGGGTTCTTCTGTGAATTTAACAGATCCCTTTCACAGACTGTTCAGATACTAGGAAGCCATAATAGTGTTTCAATATTAGGGGGTTTGCTTCTTTGCAAAATGAGATGCACTTAGGCTTATTTAATCTTATTGGCCAGCAGCAGCATAATAGATACCCATTTTAAAGTTCAAATTTAAAAGCAGTTGGGAAAAAGGAAATGCTTCAATATAGTGAGACAGACACAGTACTGGCTTTCAGGTACTGGCTTTCAGCAGTGGAATCTGCTGAAAGGAATGTATTCCTTGTTATGTTTTCTTTAAAAAAGAGTTATATTCCTCATGTTTCTCTTTTTTAAAGTGCTCTTAAAACTTTTTCAATGAATGGTCTTCAAAGACTATTTTGAAAAAGGGAGCATTGAACCTCTTGTATGGAATTTACAGTAAAATTAATAGATGCTTTATCTTTTGAAAATCTTATAAGCAGCACGATATTTCAGATGAATTAAAGCAACCAAAAATTAAATCTCATGTTATTCCATAATGCTTCTAAATATATTTAAACTGTTTGTTCACTTTGTAGTTCAGATTTCATATTATTCATACTTGACACTTTACATATAGTGCAATTTTTTTAAACTATTATTTGAAGCATTATATTAATATGAAGGTCAGAAAAAATACCTCTTCCATACATACAACATTTCAAAGTTTGTTTCTGTTCCAGACTGAGGTAAAAAGAATATATTTTCTATAAAATATCCCTTCAAAAAAACCTTCAGTTTGGGACTATTCAAGTAATCGGTTTTAAGTGTCAGGACAGTAAGATGTTGTAAGTCATATAATCATAATATAGTCGTAATTATGACTATATATAACTATAATATAGTTATATTGATGCCATAACTATTAAATATGTTTCAATTAATAGTCTAATATGATTGATGTCTCAAAGCTAAGGAAGTTAAGACAAAAAAAATGCAGCAAATAAAACATGAAATGAAATACTTTCATTACGGAAGGAAATTGGATTATACTTTCTGTATCTTTTTCCAGTGACAATGGAAAAGGCATCAGCTGAAGTGTTCTGCAGTGATGAGGACTGTAACTTAACAGTAGATGGAATAGGGCTGTGTCGGCTCTGTGGGGTGCTCTTCCAGTGACTTCAGGGAAAGACCTGTGTTTCCATTAGTGTGATACAAATTTAGTAGCTTTGTAGTTTGCCTGCTTCAAGTCTTCCAAAAGAAACTGTGCAATCTATGTATTATTTTGCTCCTTGTTTGGGAAAAAAAGAAGTAAGTTCCCAGAAAGGAGCAGACAAAATCAGGTCACAAAATGAGGAAGTATTTTGGACCAAATTCTCCACCTGTTTATATGCCATGCAACTTCACTGAATTTTGTGGAGTTACACAGATCAGAAATAATGACTCCAATTTTATTTTTAACTGAGGAAGTTAGTATGGATTATAAAACATTCTATATTTTTAGAAACATCATTGCAGTACTCTGCCATTGCTAATTCACCATTTCCGTGCTGAGAATCATATTTAAGTTTACTGATTAGTCATTGTAAATGCAAGCTGTGACATGCAACGAAGCCTCTAGGCGCTAAAATAGTTACCACTGTCTGGTGTGCTGATTTCCTTATGTGCTGCGGGCTCCCTTTCCCGGATGGACTGCAATCTCGGCCATGTCTAGAGCCATCCTAAATGGAAATTAAAAAAGAAAAAAATTGGCAGATGCTTTGAGCTGCGGATGAATCATCAGAGGTGGACCTACAGCTGTGCGTATTTGGCAGCGAGCTATTCCCGTTTTCTCTTGTATTAGCTAGTTAGCCAGTCAAAAGGCGTTACAAGAAAAGAGTTGAGTACTGCTATTACGAATTATACTTCTTGTTAATGGGCTTAAGTGCCTCTGCCAGATCCTTTCCTCCCACTCTCCCTTTCCTGAGAACTGTTGTGTTCTCTACCTTTCTCCTCAATCAGGTAGCAGATTTTTTGGTCCGGTGGCAGCCAGTCCTCTCTGAGTTCTTTTGTTCTTAAGATCAGAGCAAACTTCATAACCCTCATTAACTCTGCAGCAGCTCTTGTGACTTAGCAGCATGTCCTGGGTGGGAAGAAAGGAAGAATTGAGCCGATGTCAGTAGCTAACTGAGCTTGCAATGACTGGTGTTGCCAGCGTGGCAGCCAGCACTGCACAACTTGGCTTTCGCCTGACACTTCTTTGGATGGACAAACCCCCAGTGACCTTAGCCAAGGCAGGAAAAATGCATTAAAGTTTGTTGTGGGACTGTGGTGGATGAAGTAGATGAGCCTGTAGTTCACATGGGAATGAGCCCCAACGCACTGACCAATGACCGTTAGCTTTTATGTCCAAGATTTCCATTTTGAGTAAGATATAGACAGAGCCTTTGAAGATGGTTAAACATTAGCCAGGAGCTAACGTAACTAGAGGCATGCAAGCCCCAGCAACAGGCAGAAAAATGAGTGCTCACACTCTCTGAGTTTGCTCAAGGCAGTGCCCCTGCTAGAGCATTTGTGGAAATCAATGTCATGAAAATTCAGCCCCAGATTCTGGGAAAGATTGTAGCTGTATGAGGCATTTTCAAGAAGAGGCTTTATTACCCTGCTGGGAGTAAGATATATGCCCAGTTAAAATGCAGAGTTGTACAGGTAGCTTTTATCATTGTCTGTTAGTTTGAATTCGATATCAAAATGGTAGGTTATGATTATTATTGAAATTAAATAGTTATGTAGCAATAGTGCTGCACAGGAGTTAGGTGCATAATGTTACTCCATTTTTGTGCCTTCTCACAAGTCATGTCAGGTTGTGCTAAAGGAGGGGAATGAGAGACAATTGTTTTCCCAGTATTCCTAGAAAATACTAATAGTGTTGAGCTCTTCGTCTTAGCAAATCTAGCTGATACTGTCTGTCCTGGCTCTAATCATCTACTTTGGTGACTTCTGCTTTGGTGACTTCGAGTAGGCATGCATCACATAAATATCATCCAGGGAGCCTAAAATAATCTTGAAAAATTACAAAAGTGGACTGTTTGGGACTAGAAATTGTGTTGCCTAATAATTTTGTGTGACTTTAAAGAGGACAGAACTGCTGGCTTTTTTTTTTTTTGTAAGATTGTGATAGTTTGGGGCTCAGTTGAAGTACACTTTTCCCATATCTAAGTTGAGCTTTAGAGACCAGGGGTCTTTCCTGAGATTAGTTCTTTCTCTCTCTTTCTTAGCAGTTTTTCAGTGCTGGCTTCTGGATCTCAGGCCCCATTGGGCTTGTCCACGTATCTGAGGCAGAAAGCACAAACTTAGCAGATTTTCCCAAAGACCATAATAATTAGAGGGGTTTATTACTTTTTAGTAATGACGTTTCCAAAAGTTGAGCTGTTTAGAATGACTTATGGATAGTTTCAGTAAATATGCAGTCATCACATGTCAAACTTTGCCTCAGTTTGAAATTAGCCAGAGGTGTTGGAAACAGTTCTGTATTCTCAACTGCAAGGGCTCCTGAAACTAGAAAAGTCCATCAGTTCTCTTTTTCCAGGTAGAGGGCACACCGAACAGAAAAACACAAATGTGTTTGAGCTGTTTGATGTGTCTGATCTGTTAGGCTGAGCTTGTGATCTCTTCTGAATCTTTAAATATGAATCGTTACATAGGCTTGTATCGTGCAGCCTAAAATAAATGTGGGCTAGACTTAAAGCTAGACTTAAATGATTTGGGAATTCTGGTGTTCTGCTGCATCCGGGAAAGTCTGTAATGCCAATATTGAAATTTTTGGATAATGTGCAGCGCCCAAAATAGCAAGGAAGGTGTTTTAGTAAATCCTCATGCCTGAAAAGTACATTAGTGGGCTATGTGCCACATGCTATGAGTACAGAGGTACAATATAGCTTCCATGCAGAGAAACTAACTGATCTCAGAGCTAAAATGTTATTTTTAATTAAAATACACTACATGGCTATTGTTAAAAATCGTTCTGAAGTCATTATTCCTTATGCTGATTCCTCGTTCCTTCTGATTCTTTTGGATCTGATTATATTGCTTCATAGCCAAGGCTTATATATACATTCCCTGCCATTTGTATGTAGAAAAAATATAAATAATCCATAGCACTCAGACCACCAGTAAGTAAATCCTTTTTCTTTATTAGCTCTTTCTGAAGTTTTGTGGACCCCGAGGGCCATGGTCTGACTGCAAGAAATAGCTTTCTTGAGCTGCAATAGCTAAGATTACCAGCAGAAGCCATGGAGGAATAGCTGTGCTTTTGTTCATCTTTTGTGGACAAGTTTATGGTTGTTTTTCTGATACCTGCAAGTGGGATATCTAGAGTAATTTCTGAAGGTACCCAGACTTTTCAAAACTACCTCATCGCAAATGGATCAAATGAGAAAT